ATCTAAAAATCTGTTTTTGCTTCGTCATTATGGGGTATTGTGTGTAGATTGATGAGGGGGGAAAAACGATATAATCAATTTTAGAATAAGGCTGTAACAACAAAATGTGGGGAAAGTGAAGGGGTCTGAATACTTTCCGAATGCACTGTACATGTAGACCAGGTAAAAGCACTATTAATTTAACCACCACCTTTCTACCCTTCCCCCAGCGTTCCAACTACCTCCACAGACAGGTGGGGGCGCTAGCGAGCAAGTACTCCAACGTGCGTGTTACTTCCTGGAGGATGTCCACCATTTGGGGCGGGGCGAGCCTGCTCACCATGTACCTGCGTAGCATGGACGACCTTCTCAAGATGGCCGACTGGAATTGGGACTTCTTCATCAACCTCAGCGCAGCCGACTACCCTATCAGGTGGGCATGGAGGGCGCTGGTCAAAAGTAGTACACTGTATAGGGAATAGGACCCTGATGGCTCTGGTCAAAGGTAGTGCACTGTATAGAGAATAGGGCACACACACACACACACACACACAGAATTCCACATAATAGAGGAAGTCGTTCTAACGAAAGGTCCTGAGTCACTAAGTCCTCTCTACTTCCAACTGGATCTCTTATTGAAGTGAACCAATCCTATGAGCCCTGCGGCCCGCCGGACAAAATCCATCCCACGTTCCACAGCCATGTCATTAGGCCCACGTCAATACCCAGTGTGAGCGAGAGAGAGGTTTGGATGCAGTGACATTGTGGATTCACCTCTACAGCTTTTCAGCATAGGAAAATCCAATAGGGCAGGACTGATGGGTGTGTGTGCGTCCGTCTGTCTGTGCATACTTCAATTGGAGTTTCTCCCTCTCTCTCTCTATCTCTCTCATTCACCATGACATATATCTAACTAATTCTGTCTGTGTCAACTTCAGATCATCTGGTGTGTGTGCGTGTTTGTGTGTGTGTGTGTGTGTGTGTGTGTGCGTGTGTGCGTGTGTGCACTTGTGTGTGTGTTACTACAGATGAGCTGGTGTGCTTCTTCATTAACCTGATCCTTATAGCCTGACTCTGCCTAGGGTGTTAGCATTGTGCGCTAGCCTTGATAAAGCACTGTAATGCTTCGCTAATGGGAGTGCTAATGCTAAGCTAATTAAAGAGGTATTAGGAAAGTGTAATTGCTTTGAGAGTTTGGGACTCAAGTTCTGTTCAGATGGGAGTAGAGGACTGAGTGCTGTTAGGTGTGTGTTTTGGGGGAGGTGGGGGGGGGGGTGCTGTTGTGTGTGTGTGTGTGTGTGTGTTAGTGGCTGGGACGGTACCATAATCGCAATATTTTTACCATGGCAAAAATTTAAACACGAAGCAAACCAAACTCTTTGCTCCTTAAAACACCTGCTGTATATAAAATATGCGTGCTATATCTTGGAAAAGAAATAAATGTGACTATTTTGCATTGATAAACAAATATAATCTCAGCGACAGTTTAAACAATAAATTCCAAACAACATTATTAGAATCCCCCCTCGGTAATAACTAGTGATTCCAGGCTATTGGTAAAAACAGCTGGGAGAGATGGGCTCAGTAGAAATAACTAGTGATTCCAGGCTATTGGTAAAAACAGCTGGGAGAGATGGGCTCAGTAGAAATAACTAGTGATTCCAGGCTATTGGTAAAAACAGCTGGGAGAGATGGGCTCAGTAGAAATAACTAGTGATTCCAGGCTATTGGTAAAAACAGCTGGGAGAATGGGCTCAGTAGAAATAACTAGTGATTCCAGGGCTTTGGTAAAAACACTGGGAGAGATGGGCTTCAGTAGAAATAACTAGTGATTTCCAGGTATTGGTAAAAACAGCTGGGAAAGTGGCTCCGTAGAAAAAACTAGTGATTCCAGCTATTGGTAAAAATAGCTGGAGGAGATGGGCTTAGTAGAAATAACTAGTGATTCCAGGCTATTGGTCAAAACAGCTGGGAAGAGATGGGGCTCAGTAGAATACTAAGTGATTCCAGGGCTATTGGTAAAAACAGCTGGGAGAGCTGGGCTCAGTAGAAATAACACTAGTGATTCCAGGCTTATTGGGTAAAAACAAGCTGGGAAGAGATGGGCTCATAGAAATAACAGTGATTCCCAGGCTATTGGTAAAAACAGCTGAGAGATGGCTCAGTAGAATCTAGTGATTCCAGGGTTTGGTAAAAAAACCCGGGAGAATGGGTCGAGAATAACTAGTATTCCAGGGATTGGGAAAAACACTGGGAAGATGGCTTAGTAAAATAATAGTGATTCCGGGTATTGGAAAAAACGGGAAGATGGGCTCTAGAAAAACTAGTGTTCCGGCTTATTGGTAAAAACGCTGGGAGAATGGGGTCAGTGAAATAACTAGTGATTCCAGGGATTGGGAAAAATAGCTGGGAGGATGGGGTTATAGAAATAAATAGTGATTCCGGCTATTGGAAAAAAAGCTGGGGGATGGGCTCATAGAATAACTAGTGATTCCAGGTTTGGTAAAAACACTGGGAAGATGGGCTCATAAAATAAATGTGATTTTCCCCCTTTTTGGGAAAACCCTGGGGGAGATGGGCTCTAGAAATAACTAGTGATTTTCCCGGGTTTTGGGAAAAAAACTGGGGGAATGGGCTCAGTAGAAAAAACTATGATTCCAGGGTATTGGTAAAACAGCTGGGAGGGGCTCTAAAATAAATGTATTCCCGCTATTTGGGAAAAACCTGGGAGAATGGGGTTTGTAGAAATAACTAGTATTTCCCGGGTTTGGTAAAAACACTGGGAGAATGGGGTCAAGAAAAACTATGATTCCGGCTATTGTAAAAAAAACCCGGGAAGGGCTCAGTAGAAAAAATATGATTCCAGGGTATTGGAAAAAACAGCTGGGGGAATGGGGGCCCGTAGAAATAACCCGTGATTCCCGGCTATTGGGAAAAACACTGGGGGAGATGGCTCAGAAAATAACTATGATTCCAGGCTATTGGTAAAAAAAAAACTGGGAGGATGGGCTCGTAGAAAAAACTATGACCAGGGTATTGGAAAAAAAACTGGGAAATGGGCTTGCAAAATACCCGTATTTCCCGGGTATTGGTAAAACACTTGGAGAGTGGGCCATAGAAATAACTAGTGATTCCGGCTTTGGTAAAACAGCTGGGAGAGATGGGCTCATTTGAAATACATGTTCCAGGCTATTGGTAAAAAAACCCGGGGGAGATGGGCTCTAAAATTCTAGTGATTCCAGGCTATTGGTAAAACACTGGGAGATGGGGTCAGTAGAAATAAAAGGTTCCGGCTTTGGGAAAAACGCGGGAGAGTGGGGCCCGTAGAAAAACTAGTATTCCAGGGTATTGGGGAAAACAGCTGGAGAGATGGGGTCATGAAATAACGTGATTCCAGGCTATTGGAAAAAAGCTGGGAAGATGGCTCAGTAGAAAAACTAGTGATTCCCGGCATTGGGAAAACGCTGGGGGGGGTTGGGGGGTTGTAGAAAAACTGTGTTTCCAGGGTTTGGTAAAACAGCTGGGGAGTGGGGGTTTTGTAAAATAAAAATTTATTTCCCGGCTATTGGTAAAAAAACTGGGAAGATGGGGCCGTAGAATAACTATATTCCGGCTATTGGGGAAAACGCTGGAGGATGGGCTCAGTAGAAATAAAATATGATTCCAGGGTTTGGGGAAAAAAGCTGGGAGAATGGGCTCAGTAGAAAAACAAGGTTCCCCGCTATTGGGGAAAACGCTGGGAGGATGGGCTTGTAGAAAAAAACTTGTGATTCCAGGCTATTGGTAAAAAAACTGGGGAGATGGGGCTCATAGAAATAACTATGATTCCAGCATGGGGAAAAAAGCTGGGGGAAGATGGGCTCAGTAGAAATAACTAGGATTCCAGGGATTTGGTAAAAACGCTGGGAGGATGGGCCAGTGAAAAAACTTTTGTTCCCCGGTATTGGGAAAAACGCTGGGGGGAAGGCTCATTAAAAAAAACTATGTTCCGGCTTTGGTAAAAAAAAACCATGGGAAGATGGGTTTTTTAGAAATCAGTGATTCCAGCTATTTGGGAAAAAAGCTGGGGGAAATGGTCCATAAAATAACTTTTTTTCCCGGGTATTGGTAAAAAACTGGGGGAAAATGGGGTCAGGAAAAAAAACTAGTGATTTCCGGCTTTGGTAAAAAAACCGGGGGTTTTTCTCCAACCAAAAAATATCATTCTTTTTTTTGCTGATAGGAGTGAAAACTTGAAGCGCACATTAAACTGGGAAATTTGTAGGTTACCCGTAAAACAAAAAAATATTTTCCAGGGGAAATTAATTATTTAAAAATCATATTATTTCACATCGTTTTAAAGCTTTTCAAAATTAAAAACACTTCCAACTTCAAGATTGCTGTTTCGTTTACTTGGCTTAAATAAGAGCCTTTTTTGCTTGTAGCCAAAAATAATCTCAGCGACTGTTTTAAAAAAATAAAACCAAAAAAACATTGGGGCCTTATTAAATCCCCAGAATGTTTTTGTTTAGAAATAAAAAGCTGATTGACCACTTAAAAAATGATGATTCTATTTTTAGCTGATTGGGAGAGAAACTTGAAGCAATTTAAAAATGGGATCCGTTTGGGGTTTCCCGGTAAAACATAAAAAATATTTCCAGGGCATATTATTTATTTTAAATCAATTATTTTTACTGGGGGAGTGTGGAACTAAAAAACTTGCGTGCGTTTTTAGCCAGCTGCTAGCAGCTCTAGCTGAGTACCTACGCCAAATGGCAAAAAAACCCGGTTTTTTTGGTTTTCAA